CCTTTCCTCCCTCCCTTCCTCCCTCCCTCCCTCCCTCTCTCCCTCTTACCGCTCTCTTTTTCCTTGCTGTCTGTGAAATCAGGACTTCCCTGGGTTAAGTGACGATTATTATGGAGCAAAGAACCTGAGTAAGTCAAATGTACACACCCTATTCTGGGCATGAATGGTGATGCTGGGGTTGGGGGTGTAGGGGACGTGGGTGTGGGTGAGGGTGAAGGGTGAAGGGAGGGCAGTATTTGTGAGAACTCTAATGCCACAATAGGAGGAAGTAGAAGTGGCTGTGAATGTCATACTTCTACTCTGGGTCCCTGGTACCGTAATAAAAGCCTGTCATTCATGTCTGTGTTTTTCTTTTATACCTTGAAGTGGTGGGGAGCCCAACCCTTGTCACCCCACCTTATAAGTGAGGTGGGCAAAAGTACTTCTCCAGGGTGATTACTCAGCTCATCTATAGCCTATTGTTGAGGTGAGGGATGCCTGCTGGTTGGAGTCTTCTTCCAGTGACCCAGCACTAAAGTATTGGGCTTCAGAATGAACTGATTCACTCTATTTAACTAGGGACAGGAGCACTGTGAAGCCCTTTACCCAGTGTGCATCTGGGATCTCCCAGCCGGTCCAGGAACTCAGCAAACAGATGCAGGCTGGCTTTCTACAGAGCATTTTTAAGGGGCTGAGCTGGAGGGGGTTGCAGCAGCATTTGCGGACCATCTATATCTAGTGCTTTAACTTGTGAGAATCCTGACTGGCCTCTCCTCTCTGAAAATAATTCTAGAGTAGAAAATGAAGGGATACAGATGGCAGGGCCATAGTGTCCCCACTGTGCACAGAGGAGCACATACATGTAGCCATGCCAGGCAGCTTCCGTGAACATACCCTCTCCCTCAGTAAGCCCTAAAGGCGAGAAGGTGGAGGAGCTTCCTCAGGATTGCTCAGGAACTAGCTGTGGCTGCTGAGTCAACCAGTCCTTCCTGGGGGCCACAGCATATCACGGTCTGGAAAAGTGTCATCTTGGCTGAAATGAGCAAAGTCTCTCTCCATAGTTTGTTGTGTCCATGTTTCATCTTCATTTGCCTGTTGTCTGGGGAGTGGTGGGTGGGCTTTGTTTGGGCCAGACTGCCTTGTGCCTCCTGTGTGTGTGCCTCTTCACCCACGCCCGGATGTGGGCAGGTCCCAAGGCTCTGAGACAGGAGAGCTGTCTTGTCCTCCAGGTGTTCTTTGTTGTCTGTATTTTGCCACGTCTGTCGGGTGGATGGAGGAGCACCCCTCACCACTGAGGCCACACCCTCCCTTCTAGGTAGTGGTGGCAGGAGAGCTGCTGGTCCCCCCGAGTGGTCAAAGCATTGTTACCTGGTGACTGCGCAGCCTGCCCAGTGCTTGGCCTTATCATTTAGGAGCACCGCGCAGTTCTGTATTTTGGGGCCTCTATCTGGGAGGAAAATTCAAGAGCAGCCTGGTCCCTGGACTTTTCTTTGCTACTGTCACTGCCTTTCCTTTCCTAACGGTCGCCTTGGGAGATACATTTTGACATAGGAGTTGGAAGCCATCCATTTCAGGTCTTTGGACTCAGATGAAGAGGAAGCTGCCAAGGAATGGAGGGCTTGTGGTGTAGAGGGAGGGACTTGGCAGACCAAGAGGCTCTGTGGACTAGTATGAGGTAGCTGGGCTCAGGGTTGGAGGTGTGCCTCCCAGTTGGTAGCCTGGATGTGGCAGGTCTCCTGTGGCCTGATTAGGCTGACAGCTCAGTGTCTTGCTCCTGGAGCATTTGAGTGTTGTGCCACGTGTGACCTGTCAGGGTTGTGTTCTGAATCAGAGTCTCTTTCTTGTTGGCTTGCAGAGGGAGTGACATCCAACACCAGTGACAGCGAAAGCAGCTCCAGTAAGTGTGTGTCATTCTCCCCCATGTGTTGCTCCACCATGTGTCCCAGCCACCCTCATTCCAGCATCACAATTCTGCCGTTTCTGTTGAGAGGCTAGTGCTTCTTTCAACCATGTGCACTTTCAGATCCTGGACATGCTGTGGCCATTTTGTTCTTCTGGGATGGGCTTCAAGCCATGGATTAAAGGAGGTTAGAAGCCTGCTGTCCTGCCAGGGACCTCACTTAAAGCATCCCTGGGGCCCTGGGAGGGGTGAGCTGCCAGTGAGGAAATCCCTGCCATCGGACATTATGGGCTGTAGATGCTGCCAATTTTATATATTTGCTCAAAGACCAAAAAAAAAAAGAAGGTGGCTCCTGTGGGATAGTGTCCTGAATTGCCTTGCCAGGTCACCAGGCCCTCCTGGGTTAAGGCTTGGTGTCCTTGCCTTTTAGTGGGTTAAATGATCAGGTACCTGTCCCATTTGCCTTCAGAGATTCTGTGACTAAGCTAGAGAAGCCACAGACCAAACTCCATGAACTTTAGGTGTACTGGCCTCTTGGCAGTTGTGGCTAGAGGCCTTGGAAAATCTGCCCAGGAGTCTTCAGCTCAGAGGAAGCCTGTGAACAGGCATCCTGGGCTTGATGCAAGCTTTGCTGCCTTCCCTGGCACTGCTGCCAGCTGCTTTGGCACCTCCAGGCACTCAGCACCCAGTGACTTGGCAACTGTTTTGGGAAAAGCTCATTACTAGGATACAGTGAGGAGAGTGCAGGCCTCAGCATGGTCTTAAAGGGCACTGGGGACCTTACCCCAGTCTTATGCCATTTTTCTGGATGCTTCTTCCAGTGAATGGGACAATAGATAGACCCTTAAAAAGCCAAAGTTAGGCTGCAGCTCTGGGGACCTGCAGAGACAGGGACAGGAGTAGTGTGTCTTGACCAGTTGAAGCTTCCCTGTAATTCTTACCAGAGCAAGAGGGCAACTGAGCACAGGTGACTGTCCTTAAGAACAGTTCCTGAAAAGTTGGGGTGGTTTCTGGTGCAGGCTTCATGATTTCTGGGTCACGCCTCTGCTTAGCTATATTTTGCTGAACAAGAAGACTCCGGCTCCTGCCCGGGTGGTGAGGGCTTCCTGTGCTTTTTTTGCCGACAGGAAACAGACAGACCCATGGGTCAGGTATGAGCAGGCACAACTTGACCAGGTTGTTTTGACACATGTAGGAGTGATGTAAGTGTTTGTAGGAAGATAAGGATGTGGGGAAGCAGATTAGGGAGTGTTAACATGTCTCCCTTTTTGTTGCAGAAGGACAAGAGGATACTATTTTGTCATATGAGCCAGTGACTCGGCAAGAAAGTAAGCTATTTTCTGAGAATCTTGCCTTCCAACCAGTCTTGGCAGATATGGGGCCCAACACAATGGTGACAGGGAAGAGTGTAGGGGAGCTGGAGGGCACATGTAGCCCCTGGGGTCTCGTCCTCTTCCCCTTCTTCCTTTGTTAGAGAAAGGGTGGCCTTCCAGTGTGCACACCCCCACCCCCACCCCCACCTCACCTGTGCTCGCTGCCAGGGTGCCTTCCAAAGGGGAGGGCGGATTTACAAGAATGGCAGAGGGAGATTTCAGTGGCTGTGGCCGCTGCTAAAATGGAGGTCCTGGTCATGTCCCTTCGGTGGCTGCTCTAAAAGAGCCCTGCTCAGCTGCTGGTGCCCATGCAGAGATTTCTCCTGAATCTGATGGCAGGGGAGGTGCCTCGGACTTAGATATTCTCAAAGTAAAGGCTCTTTGATGTCTTTATAGTTAAAATCCAGTGAATGGCTGTGGACACTGCCCTGCCTGAGTGGTGGCTCCAGGCCTCAGTGTTCTGGGCAGACTTGCAGGTAGAACAGGCTGTCCAGTCGGGGCCTCGCTCACTATCTTCATGCGCTCTCTCTCCAGTTCACTATGCAAGGCCCGTGATCATCCTGGGCCCAATGAAGGACAGAGTCAACGATGACCTGATCTCAGAGTTCCCACATAAGTTTGGATCCTGTGTGCCACGTAAGAGCCCAGGAAGACCGTGGGTATTGGTGTTGGTGCCCAGTGATTTGTTGCTCTGATGTATTATGGAAAGGGTGCATTGAATACCCTAGCAGAGATTAGGCAGCACTAGATTCCCCCAAAGCTGATGGGGTTGGGAGGACTAAGACGTCAGAGCAGCCTGCTTGCTCCTTTGGGAAATGGTTGAGTGCCAATGGTTAGGAATCATTGGACAAGCTCTGGGCCCAGCCCAAGTAGGACAGCATGGCCCACTGGATAGCTTGTCATGTTCACTGGCTCCTGTACCACCTCTGGCATCCCTGTCGAGCCTTCATCTGAAAAACCCCACCTTTCTGGTTCAGTTGAACCTGAAAGAAATAGCCCCTTGTGTATGAGAGTTGAGGTTAGAGGAGATGTAGGCAAGACAAACTTCTTCCCACCTGCTTTCCCCACTCATCTTGCCACTGGAGTGGCCTCAGCACTCAGGTGAGAGAGGAGCATGTCATTCTCCTTGGGCTTCCCAGCATTTTCTTTCTTCCTTCAGATACTACGCGGCCTCGGCGTGAGAATGAGGTGGATGGGCAGGATTACCACTTTGTGGTATCTCGAGAACAAATGGAGAAGGACATTCAGGACAACAAGTTCATCGAGGCAGGCCAATTCAATGATAATCTCTACGGGACCAGTATCCAGTCCGTGCGGGCAGTTGCAGAGAGGGTAAGGGCAGGAGATGGCCCTGCTAGAGACGTACTGCACAGAGGGCGCACAAAAGGCTTCCTGCCACAGGTCCACTGGATCTTCCTCCCCCTGGCACAGGGCCCACCATGTGGCACTGTAGCCAAAGCCGTACCCACCATGTACATTCCCATCCCCTGGATGGTGGGGTCTGTCTGCCTCCATGCAACTCACTCCATAGTGTCACCAACCTGAATAGGGCCCCCTCTGTAGACCTGGCCTTTTCTGGGTAGTAGAAAATATGGCGCCTGGGTACCTCTGGGGTAGAATCTTCTAGGCTAGAATCTCCTGTCTCCCCCCAGCTGGGGGATGTTGGGGTTGCTAACTGGGTAAGTACTTGGGGTTGGGCTGAGACAGGGACCAGGAGCACTGATGCAAGTCGTTACTTTTCCAGGGCAAGCACTGCATCTTAGATGTTTCTGGCAATGCTATCAAGAGGCTGCAGCAAGCACAACTTTACCCCATTGCCATTTTCATCAAGCCCAAGTCCATTGAAGCACTTATGTAAGTATTTGTGAGACTCACTCCTGGCTGGGAGAGAACCCTGCGAAGGAAACAGAAAATGAAGTGATTGGTTGGGCCGGTGGGTGCCCCAGTGGAAGTACAAAGGGAGACCTGCACCGCAGCTCTGGTCCCCAAGGGCTCCTGGTGTGAGTGCCCACGTGTGTGTTCCCAGGTGCACTTTTAGACCTGGAAGGTTTGAGGAAGATGTAGAGCCATGGGCCGTGCTGCTCTTAGAGGGCAGCTGAGCAGGTGTTCAAGGAGCCTGGAATAATCCTTTGTGTTAATCAGAACATGGAATTTAGTTCGGCACTAGATTTCTTCTGTCGTTGACAGGGAAATGAACCGACGGCAGACGTACGAACAAGCAAATAAGATCTATGACAAAGCCATGAAGCTGGATCAGGAGTTTGGAGAGTACTTCACAGGTAAGGACCAATCCAGCTCATGTGGGACCAGCCAATATCTGTTCTAGAAGAGTCTCCATGAGGCTTAGTCACCTCACACAGAGTTTCTGGGGGGCTTTTGAGCTTGTACCTTTCCAAAGTACTAAAGTGCCCTGCAGCCCACCAGAACAGTTAGCCAGTTTATAGTTTCCACCACCATCACCAAGGCTGCCTTAGATCATTTTGTTCTTTTTGTCTTCGTGTGCCAACTAGAGTGGATGCTCCTTACAGTACTATGCTGCCCTCCCCCCACTTCCAGGACTTGGCCTTGCATGTTTTAGGTGCTGAAGAAATTGTTGTTGCTGAAGATTCCTTGGTGTGGTGTTCAAGTTGTCTGTCAGTGTGTGTGTGCATGTGACCATACAGGTCAGTTTCTCAGAGGTTGGCAGAGTGTCTGTAGCATGTTGCTTACCTTTTCACATGCAGTGACATGTATGTGCAGGTTTGTGCAGAGTAAGCTCTAGCAGGGACACTACTAGATGAACCAGGACAGGATCTGTAACTGTCCTGTCATCTCTTGGGTTTCAGAGCTCCCTTTACTGTGAGCATCTGTTCTGTGTGCCGTGCTGACCTCTGAAAGAGCAGATGTGACAGCTCCAGGAGCACTTTCTCTTGCCAGAAATTGTGGGTTCCAGCTCTTTCTCTGGATAACTGGGATTTCCCCAGTCTTCTGCTTATGACTGCTTGAGAACTGCCAACTGCTGGCCTCACGTGGCCAAGGGCGGCATGAGCTGCAACGCCTGGCATCTAATGGGCATGCAATGAAAGTTTGTGAGCAACACATTTTCCTATTCATTGCTACTTAGTCTCACGTCTCAGCAAATTTACTTCAAGCCCTGGGCTTGGAGCACCTGCCAGTTTCCCTTGCTGCACTAGGCTCACAGATAGCGATATAGTGACACCAATCCCACGGCCATGTGGTCGCTGCATGCCAGGTTGAGCTGTAGGCCTGTTGGGACAGGCCAGATTGGTGGGGTTTGGGGGTGCTGTGGACAACAGTAATAATTCTGTTTTCTCTTCACTTTAGCCATTGTACAGGGTGACTCACTGGAAGAGATTTATAACAAAATCAAGCAAATCATTGAGGACCAGTCTGGGCACTACATTTGGGTCCCATCCCCTGAAAAACTCTGAAGAAGCCCCTCCACCCTTTCTCTTGTGAACAGAAGAAGTCAAGCCCCTCTTCCCTCCTCCCTCTTCATTCCTGACCCCATGGGGAGAACAAATGACTACTGTTCTTGTCCCCTTTTTTAGATATGTCAAAAAAATTGAGTTTTCTAGTCCTGTTCTGTTTTTTAAATTTTTGTTTTGTTTGAGTTTATTTTGGGGGGACGATGCCATCTCACTCATCATGTGACTGTGCCCATTCCTGCATGGACCTTTCCCAAGCGCTAGCACAGGTGCAAATCCTTCAGAGTCATTGTTTTCATAAAAATTGAGCAGACACGAAGAGAAGAGAGGAGAGGAGGACTGATGGAAAGATAGACTCTGGACAGCCGCACAGCTTTGACGTGAGCTCAATGCGCCTTGCGATGAGGTGCTCCTGGCATCTCTGCCTATCTGTACTGCTGCATGCAGTTCTGTATGGTGTGACATCATGGTGACAGAAAGTACCTTATTTATATACAGATATATATATATATTATATATATA